AGCACAGTATCTTTATACTAATATACAGAGTCTATTTGTATTTGTTCTCCACATGTAACAGTCTTTTACACCAGTCCTCTCTGATTTGTCAACCTAGACTTGCAAAGTATTTTCAGTCAAGGCCGTGGGCCATAGGAATTTAAGAAACTTAAATTTAAGTGTGACACTTGGAATTACATTTTTTTATTTCGTTTTCTTGGTGGAGAGTTACCAACTTTTCTCCTCAAATGTTGTATAGCAGTGTTTCTGCAGAACGTACCACACAGAAGCACTTGAGCAATGCAAACGTGCACCTTTATCTCGTACACACATATATATTGAATCTTCTTCAGTCATAACCTGTAAGACCCGATCAGTTCAACGGTGCTGCCATTAGCTAACAGCTGCTGGAGCTTCTGAGCGATTGCGTGGGCTGTTTCCACAATTTTCATCCATCGGTTTGAGCAAGAAAGCGTTTCAACCTGCTGCTGTGAAAGAGATACAAAAATGTCAATTGATTTTATAAATGCATCCTCTTCACAGATCTAGACAGTTGGCTTGTTTACAGAGGATTTTCTCCTTTAGCTTCTGTAGCTTTCTTTCTTTTTCCAGGTAAGATCAATGACACTTTCCAGCATTTCTTTACTCGGCTGTTCATCGACCCAACATGAGACATACAGTTTAAGAGATTCAGTGCTCTGTAAAGCAACTCATTCAACATAAAATAAAAGACAAAAACTGGAGTGTGGTTCAGTGCCAGTGAAAATTTAATCTAACCAATGAGAAGAACATACCCCAAAACACAAGAGGATATGGGCAGAAGCTGAGGGATGAAGGAAGGCGTGGAGGAAAACCCGAGCAGAACAAATTGAACCTCATTTTCAGGCACTTTTTTTTTTCTGTGCTTGACAGTCCAGAAAAGAGGATACGTCTTTACTTGCCTGGAGATGTTTTTCAGACTCACTTCAGCAAATAGAAATTATACAGTTAACTTAAAAGTGACAAAACTCTCATAGATGACATCATTTTGCAACCATTTCATGACTGAGATGTGGAAGAAACCCAGACAAATGAAGCCATGCCTGAGAGGTCAAATACATCCATCAAGTGTGGAAATGACTCCTCACCACTCAACTTCCCAAACGTTCTTCTTCATCCGCTACTTTTCTCTTTGCTCCAGGCTGTCTGCAGCCCTGAGTCTTTGGATTTTTGTATGCATGCATGCATGTGCTCATCGAGCTCTGGCTCGAGCCCGGCGGTTCGTATCGGGGATCAGCGCACCATTCAGGCCGTGAAGCACATTTCCTGTGTTCTGAAGGCTGAGCGAGAGAATATAAAGGAGTGCCGCACATCATTTTGGCTGAACTCTGTTGTTCAGATGAATTGTGCAAGAAACTTTGACACAAACAAGATTCAGAGGTCAGTTGTCATTAAAAAACCTGCAGTAATAGGGAGATAGGGAAAAAAAAGTAATTAATTTGAGTGACATTCTGTAAAGCTTGTAATGTCTCAGAATACAGAAAATATTTCACTGTAATAACTACAGTATATCTTTTTTTTAAAGATTATAGAGGTTGCGTTTGTTGTGGAAAGTGGCCAGAAATCAAACCTGAATTTTAGACAAGTCAACTTCTTTTTTAATTTATATTGCTCTTGTCCTCTAATTTTGGTTTCCTATGTAATTTTTTTTCTGTCAGTTTATGACACTCTTTTCATTCGCTGGTCGGTTGTTAGTTATCAATGAGACAGTTTAGGTAAGGAAAGGCATCTGGTTAGGCTTTGAAATGAAATCGAGAAACATTTCAAACTTGTGTTGTTGTTTGACTTCAAATTTTTGGTTTAAAAGCAGCAATTTCTATGGTAAGATAACGACGAGTAAATGAAAAAAGGGAAAATAAAGTAAGTGCCACAGCAATTTCTCCTTTAAACAGGCTTCATTCACATCAGAACTAAAGGCATAATGCACAACAGAGGGAACCTGAACAACGTCTGACCTGGCCAGGGTGAAAAATGTGACTCACTAGCACAGTCCATTCAGAGCTATCAAACCATAAACTTGTGACACACAAGCACTTTCCCAGTTGCTAAAATCCCAGTTACCCAGAAATAAAAATAATTCTCCATGTAGAGTTCTCTTCGATTTTCTTTTTTTTTAAATGTCCAACGCAGTTGTTGCCGTTTTCTTCTCCAAACTTTGTTGAAGTTTTGTTTTCTATTTCATTTTAGCATTTTTCAGATCTTTTTGTGTTCCTCGGCTTGTCTCTGTCGATTGTCTTAGCCCCTTTAAGAAAATAAGCAAAGTTTTATTTGCTCTGAGGAAGCTCTGAAACACTGTGTTGATACACAATGGCATCACTCTGCGATGCAGTTGTCCAGGAAACACTCCATCTGCTGTTCTAACGAGTCTTTAGAAATCATTATTCTGGTGTCAGCGACCTGTCATCTGCCTCAAGGTATGAAGGAGGAATTTTGAATAACTGAGAGACCCCCCCCCCCTCATGGATGTGGGTTTCTAGAGAGCGGCAGTGTTTTTCTAGCTTGTGTCCAGGCTGACACATGGTGCTGACCTCTGACCCTGCATCGCAACGGTTGATTTTTATCACGATAATGGGGCCGATTTCATTTCACTTACATGCACTGGGTTGTGAGCTGTGCGTGAAAAACAACAGACAGAAATAGATGTGATTATTCTAAATTTTATGGGTTGACTGAAGGCCAGTGATGCAGAAGAAGACAGGAGAATTTGGAAGGCTTCTTCCTCGTTATCACCTCATTGTTATCATTTTTTTTTTCTTTTTACTCTTTTATTTATAGGTGTTGACTCACTGCAGATATTTCCCCAGCACAGTATATACTTTTATTTTCTTATTAAGATGGATAGCTCAGAAATAGAACATGGGAGATATACGATTCATGATATAAGACATAAACAAACATAAAAAAATGATTTCAAATCAGATTGTGTGCAGCTAATTTAAAAAAAGTTTGTGGGCTTGTGTGGACTTTTGTAACTTAAGGTTCCACAATACTAACAAAAAGGAGGACATATAACCATGTTTTGAGCAGATTATTTGTCCTTGGTCTGAATTGGATCCCTTAAAATACGACAGATTAATTTATGTCTGATGTTTATCTATGGGTCTCCAGTTGAAATGTTTTAATACGGGGAAGAAGGATCTGAAAGATGTAGAAAAACAGGTTTGTTTGTTTGATCCAGTTCCTTCTCTTTCATTAAGTTCTACTCTTTCTTCTTTTTGTTTCTTGTCTTCATCCTCCATCCCACAGACCTTAAGTTTCAATTTTCCTCGCCTTCAATTAGTTGGTGAGCCAGTGTTTCTCCTACTGTCACTGCCCTCATTTTGTTTTTGCTTTACTTAGGTGTTTCTTACTGAGTACCTTTTCTGCTCTTCTCATATTCCATGTCTCCTGCCTCCCCCTTTGCTTTCTTCTAAATCGTTGTTAATTCCCTAATGCTGTCTACACTGATAAGAAGAGGGACCTGTTTTTCCTCTTCTTCTCTCCTTTCGTGCCTCATCTGCTCTCAGTTTGTTGACAGACCTTCAGAGGTGATATATAAAGACTGAAACAGGGATAGATGCTGTTGTTTTGTCACCTCCTCCTCTCCTGTCACACCCCCATCCCTCTCTTCTTCTTTGGTCTCTCTGAAGTCAAGTTTCCTCTCTTGTTTGGGCTGTTGTCTCCTCCGCTGCTGTGAAACGACACAGAAACCAAACAACAGCAAGCACTAAGGCACCTCCAAATTGAACAAATCCCTCCTCAGAAGCGAAACATGAAACAACACGAAGACAAAGGGTAGAGTTGTACATACAAGCATGTATATTTTTGACTGGGCAAATGCGAGACCCTGCTGTATTCGTGCCATCTCTTTTTTTTTTTTTTTTTCGAAAGTTTTACCGTTTCCTTTGGAGGTACAGCTTTGTTTTTCTCCCCACCACCACATTGCTCCTTCACTATTGTGGAGAAAGATGTAGAGGGAACACAAGAAAACATGACAGATGTAAAGAAATGTCACCGTGTCCCCTTTGGCTGCTCCTTTTTTACGCTGCTGTCTGAACACGGTGAACTAGCTCCGCTAACAAGCCTCACCTCTACAAAGCTCAGACAACAATGGAAGCGGTTTGTAGAGTTTATAAAGTAGCACTGATATGAATTAGAATGAACACAAGCATGTGATTGGGCTCAAAATGTCGTTTTAAAACTTATTGCTATTAACTCATAAGAATGATGAGTATATAAACCCCTTCTTTTCAACTGTGCAGCTCAATAAAGATCTTTGACAGTGGGTTTAGTATCTTGTTCAGTCCCGGTTTTCCTATTTTGGAGATAACAGCTGCTCTTGACATACAAATTATTAAATGTCATGGCGTGCTTTTTCCTGCTGGTAGTTTAATACATAAGGCATAGATATAGTCCCAAGAACTAAAAAGCAGGAGGACACCCAAAAACCTGAGCTACAGGTGGATATTTCTCAATGTGATATTCATAAAGGAACAGAAATATTGCAATGCTCTTTTCCCTCTTTAAAGGAAACAGACAAAAACTGAGCAGTCGGTACAACATTTGCACACAGTACCTAAACAGATTGTGACAGTTATCCAATGTTCAGTAATATCTTCTTGGTGTGAGCCATCAGTATGATTTTCAGTCATGCGAGAAACTCAATCATTTTATCTTTTTTTTTATTTTTTTATTCAACGCCACTGTAGAAGATATTTTTATTATCTTTGAAAATACCAGTTTAAGTGTCAGTCTAGTCAAACATGACCATGTGAGGTATTACGCCTCATTCTAAACACATGTGATGACGGGTTATATCCATGTAGGAGCAACCAGAGGGCATGCGGAGGGGCACGGTGGATTTTATGCATTGCCTCAGTCTGCACATTCAAGTGAAGGCTGTAGAAATGATAACAACGCTGACATATGAGAGATAAAATGCCAATTTGCAACCACGCCTTTTTCCAGTGTAATCGATAATGTCAACATTTTCTTTTCCTCCTCTCTGCAGGTGATGAGTGGTACCTGTGCAGGCTGACTCTGAGCATGCCCAGTCAGGCTGACCTACAGTGGGCAATGTTTCCTTCACCTTACCTGGGCGCCATCGGTCCTGACGTGACTCCCGGCTCCATCGTCTACCAACTGTCGGCACGGCAACGAGATGGGACACTAGGGCAGGCACAGTTCCTCCTACTGGATGGTGAGTGTCTAATGCTTTATTGTTTATTTGTCCAAAAGAATTATTCATATGACCTGGCATGTGAAGCTACAGTTATATATAAATATCTGTAATCCTCATTCATCTTTAAAAAGGTACACAGCTACAAATGTGTGTGCTCACTTGATGTTTGCATACAATCTAGCTCTGAAGTGTTCAAAGTTTAACTTGAGATTTAAGACAAGTCAGATTCAGATTTCATAGTTAACCTTCTGTCAAACACTTTTAGTGAGAAAATCCAGATCAATCCTCCGCTGCTTCCCCACCCCAGTTACTTTTAAAACTATTTGTATGTTTACTCCTGCCTTTATCTCTCGCCTTTATCTGTAATTAGGTCCGCTGTTGCTCTGTGACAAACCTGTCTTGCTTAAAGGGACGATTTATAAATAAAATTTGACTTGTTGAATTTCAATTACTGCCGAGCAGGAGAAAGAGAGAAAAAACGCACAGCGATGCCATAGAGCCTCACTGTTAATCACTCCCCAGGGCCAAGGAAGCTCCCAGATTTGGGAATAATAGCAAAGTCTCTCTGGAGACGCAACGAGTGGGAGAGGTGCGAGGTAGGCGTGTGGGTGCCAGTGGCTGTGGATTTTTTTTCTAATTATTGCTTTTTTTTTTTACAGATTGTGAGGGGAAGGAGGGATAAGGAATTGGATTTATATATTTAAGAGCTCATTTCTAATGTTCTCATATTAAAATTTTCTGACTCCCCTACAGGTGTGCTGGCAAATAATCCATAATTTGTTCTAAGCATCATCCAATATTGAAATAGGTTCTGACAGAATCTATGAGTTTGTGTAAAGCCTTTGGCATTAATGTGATTTTGAACATTTCATATTAAGAATTTTGTCAAATCTATCAAAGATAGGCAACAGGCAATGTGCTATCCTTCTATAAAGCCCCAAAGTTGAAGAATTTAAAAAATAAATTAATCCCATGTGGAAATGAAGAGCTCACAATTCCTCTATCTGTAGTTAGGCACAATTTTTTCCCAAATTAAACTGGCCCAGATAAACCATGGGCTGCACAGACTTTTCATAACATCACAAACAGTTGCTTTTCCAAAAGCCCAAGTGTTACATGTTTGTCCCAAGCCTTAGTTAAAAAGACGAGCTTGTCTTTTTTTCCAAGTTGTCTTTTGCAGCCACCTAAAGTGAGGCTCACGAGCACAGTTTTTAAACAGTGGAATCCTACCCATAGAGGCAAATAAACACTTTTAAAGAATCTAAAATGGACATTCTTCTAAAGACAGACTAATCAGGAGCGGACAATCAAAAGGTTAAATGTATTACCTATCTCTATCACCTTTAGAGCCTAAAATCTACTCCTGCATTTTCCCCTTTTCTTCATTGTTTCCACAATAATTCTCTCAACCTCTTTTCATCTTTTCTTCTCCATGCTCCTTTCCACATCAGTTGTTTTTATTTTGCCCTCCATCATACATTGATTCTTTTCTGCCTCTCTCTTTCTGTTAAATCACTTCCATCTTTCCATCGCTTCTGTTCCCCTTCTTTTCCTTAGGAAACTATCTTTCTGCCTCCTCCCTCTTTTTACTTTTCAGACCTGGGGGAACGCGGTTTAAAATAAGCACTCTGTTACTTTGTCATGTTTGAGTCTTCAGACGGTGTTAAACAGCTATCAAACAAATGCTCGGAAATAAGCACGCACCCCCAGCATCAATTTGCATCAATTGGCTTTTCATAATTGGGCAGCTGGGCCTCTATCCATTTATTCATATACAAATTGACAAGCTGAAAGACTGACTGATGTGTTTGCATGGCCAATTAAAAAAAAAAAAAACTCAATTTGCTTCATATAACTAGAAAATCAAGACATTTATGATAATACTATTTTGTTTATGTTATGTTAGGAAAAGTGTGCTTAAAAAATGTAAATTGAGTCTCAACAACTTTCAGATGCAACTCAGTTGTACATTTTTATTTTGCTTTCCGTGAATATTTCTGGTACTTTGTCTATCACCCAATTACAATGAGAATAGGCCCAAGCCAACCACGACCCCGAAATGGAAGAAGTGGGATAGATATTCGGTCATGGTCAAAGCTCTTTCTGCATTTAATTTTTTTTGTGCCTTCATAGAGAAAATGTACTCAAATGGTCATAAACTCATCTGTGAAAGTAAACTTCTCATAGGAAATGTTATTTGGGTGTTAAAAGTAGTGTTTAAGACCATTGCCCTCCCTAATTTTCCCTTCCTTTTGCCTGTACAGGAGGTGAGGACTGCTTCGAGGTGGACCGTCGCTCTGGTGTGATCAGGACCACAGGACGACCCCTGACCCCCAGCAAGGAGTACCTGCTGCGGGTGCAGGCGGTGGACGGCGGAGGCCGCAAAGGCCCACCAGCCACCGTCGCCATCCTGGCTGGGTACAGGCCGCCCCAGTTTACCAACTCCACCTACAGCCTGAATGTGCCAGAGAACACACCTGTTGGTCACACGTGAGTCCTCCGCAGTCTGAATGCCTTTTGTCTGTAACTTAGGCCACTTTTTAACTTTAGCTACATTAAGATATCTGCTCTCCGAGTCCCACTGATGTCCCATCTGCCTCATATGAAGTCATTCTTTCTTTTTTTTTCCAATTTCACAAATTGAGACACTCAGTGATAGCATGATTTTAAATTTAATTAAATATATTCAAGTTAGTTCCAGTGAGATCTCCATTGCATTATAGATTTAAATGGACGACTGTAGCTCTCGTAGCTGTATATGTCTGTGAATGGTTTAATAACTGAAGTTTCTGTATTGTCCTCTAAATTTACTTAAACATCACTTACATTTCATTGCCTTCAAGACTGAGAGTGGAGATGGCATTTGCATGCCCCTCCGTGTGTATGTGTCTGTGAGCATGTTTCTGTTGCTTTGCATGTCATGTGATGCATGAAAAGATGAACCCTGTGGAGCAAGACAAAAGAAAAGATGAAGAGGAAGGAAAAGGGAGAGGTAGAAGGATGATGGCAGAGGGTAAGAAAAAAAAGAAGAGAAGAAAGAGGGATGAAGAAGAGAAGGAAGGGGGTGGGATGGATGAAGAGGACCCAGATGTGTGAGTGTGGCCCGGGGCTGAGAATTTGAAAGTGTGGCAAATTCAAATATTTATTAAAAGTGAGGTCTGGATAAACATGAAGGGGAGTGTGTGTGTGAGTGTGTTTAAATCCCTCAGGGCTGCTGGCGCAAAGCACATTGTATTAATATCCAAGTATCCATGCCACCCTCGGAGCAGTGTGTGGGTGTATCTCAGTATGTATTTTTTTGTGTATCTCTGCCTCTATTATGCCCCTTTTATGTGTTCTCATGCCCTCACATATGTCTTCCCGTGTGTTTGTGTTGTTGTGTGAGAGTGTGTTTTAATCAAATTGATTAACCAGGTTGTGCTTGTCTCTGAGCTCAGAATAATCCATTATGGCTGCAGACATTAAATGCTGCACTGTAGTTCAGCCGGCACCGCTCCTCTTCACTTTATAAGTCTGTTCGGATGCGGAAACGAAGAACAGCTTTCTTATGACTTGTGGTCATGTTTACACTTAAGGCAAAACAAGCCGCTGTTATATATATAGAGCAAATCTATTTTTAAAAAAAGGAGAATTCAAAGCGCCTCACATTTGATTTATACTGAAATAAGACCAGAAGAGCAGAAACAACATACATAACAGGACTAGAATAAGTGAGTCAACATATCAAAATGTAATTTTACTAATCGTTAGTGTAACAGTGAATGTGACAAATTCTTAATGGATTTTTTCCAATAATGTTCTCACACACCACTGTTGACACCGTATTTATTTACATTTACCCTTCTAAATTTTGCCTTTCTTTCTTTCCTTCTGACAGTGTGGCTGTGGTTCAGGCTGTTTCTTTCCAAAAGAAGAGTCTGTCTTACATGCTGTTGGTGAATCCCGGTAATCTCTTCAGCATCAACCAGGAGAGTGGCGGTCTCAGCCTCACCAGGTCTGTGGACTTTGAGAGCGGCCACAACCTTCACACCCTGCAGGTCCGAGCCTCAGAACCTGATACGGGCCTCAGCGGCGTGGCCGAGGTAAGCCGTAAAAGAAGTATGGATGAAAAAAGGCAGTACAAGCATGTTGTATATTAGAAATAGATACTGATGGTATATTAGAAATAGTTACTGATGGTGGGCCTTTTATAGCCCATATGCACAGGGCCTGGGTGCTCTGAGAGAATACTCCAGAAGATAAACCTATTGACAGAGGAAAACATGAGTCAGTGATCCAGAGTATCAAAAAATCCTAGCTGAATAAAAGTCATTGAAAAAACAGTATCAGCTAAGTTTAGCTCTAGATTTAGTTAAAGTTTTGAAATTACCATGTCTGACCTCTCCCTTCAGATTTGCCATAGGTAAATGAAAAAAGTCCAGAATCTTGCAAACAGACTCCTGCTGCTACTGCATAATTACCCATGTAAACTGACCCGATACTTAAAAGTTCCACTTATTTAAATGGAAATAATCTGCCAGCACCAATATGATGATCTGTTATTATTTGCATTGTGCAAGACTACCAGATGTGTATATTTACCACAGAAGTCCCATCTTGTGTGTTGGCGGTAACTCGGTGTAACCCTGAATGACCTGTGTTCACCTTGCTAAGCGACATGGAAATCGCTTTGCTCTGGATCTCTCTGAACGATCTCAGTGTGTCCTCTGTTTCATTCACACCTGAAGTGAGGGCTGTTCGCTTGCGATCAAATCATGCAAGAGGCAGGAAAACACCAGGTGTGAACAAGGCCACGGACTAGCTAACCTGTGACCGCGATCAAACTGGATCCAATGCAATCTAGCCTGTGGACACAGCACCTTGTTGCCCGTGTACTATGTCTAGATGGATTATTTCATCTGTATAAAACACCATGTTACACAGTGCAGATTATCAGAAATGTTCAAACTAAACAAAAAAAAGTACCACATAGAATTATGTAAAAAAATATATATATATTCCTTTTAGAATGATCTATATGTGTCCTAAAAGTCTAAAAGCAATTCATAAAAGTAATTAATCAGTTCTGCAGACTGGTGGTCTGGGATACACCCACCAATGAACTCTTAAGTTATATAGCTGTATTTGGAATGTGGTGTAAGGGGTAAATAAATTAACCCACACAAACACGGGTAGAATTTGTCTACACACACGTTGGAAAACATCTGAAGGTGCTGACGCTCAACCATTAAATAAACTGCTCTCCAATGAACACTCATCGATTTCAAATTAGGGAAAGTGTTGCATCTGACCCAGAAACTGTGATGCAACAGTTTCATTTACTCTTAACTCTGTGTGTGGGTTCATTATGTGGGGCTCTGAAACTAAAAGCATACCGCTGAGCGTCCCATGAAGCTCTCATGATGAAAACTCAGGTTTTGCGGCTGCGTTTTTCTTGCATTTGCAGACCTAATAGCAGATAGCTACATCTTGACATCAACACAAACTCCCAAATGGAGGGAGCATATATAAACACCCACATAAATTCATTATCACCTGCTCTCTGTGTCTAGATGGTTCATACAGAGCAGATAGTTGTCAAACCACCAGCGTCTCCCTGACGGCCACTGCTGCTCTATAAGCTCAGTTGGCTAATTCGATTAGCGGCCCATCACATGTTTGTACGTGTGCGTTTGCAGTTGTATAAAGGCAGTCTCAGTAGGAGGTCAACTAATTTATATTTGCTGCAGTTTCTGTCGCCTGCAGCGTCATCAGACATTCAATTCTGGCTGAGTCTTTTTCCAGCTGCACACTGACACTAGCTGCCAAGCTATTGGAGCAGCATATCTCGCTTATCTTGATCCAAACAACACTTTACACGAGTTGGATTATTAACTAAAAAAATCAGGTTTCCGATCGCCCTCTTTAGTCGTCAAAGAGCAAAGAAAAGTCACACGTTTAAATCTCCCATTTCACATGTCTGCACAGGAAAAAGGTATCCTGATTCAATAGCAGGAGTATGAGGGTAAATATGAAAGTTATCTGATGGGAGTTGTTTGTTAATAAGAACACCGTAACAACCACTTGATGTGATGAGTAAGTTGCTCTGTTCCAGCCAAAACTGACAATACAGTTTTCAAACCATCATAATTTGAAATTATCTGTTGCATACTTCAGGGTTAGCACCTCAGAAATAGTTTTATTCAAAACCTTTCACAATATTAGTGTCTTATATATGATGCATTTACCTCTTTAACTTCAACTGAGGCTTGTGCCGTGATAGGAACTTATGCTTTTTTGTTCATGCTAAAAGTGATAACTATTTACTACTACTAATGTTCTAATTCATACAACAAAGCATTGCTATAAAAGGGAAAACTATTATTTGCATTCAAGAAAAATTTAAATAAAAAAGAATATCCAAATTAAAGAAGTGGAACGTTTTGTCTTCTTTTTTGTAAGGGGATTGTTTTTTCCATGACACTAAAGAACTACGGGATTTAGCTTCCTTTGACATAACAAAGTAAATCAATAGCTGTGATTAATGAACTACTGGAATGCGTGATGCCTCAATTCATTCCTATCGGAAACATTTTTTAAATCTTTTCATATAAGTGGTATGTAGCGCTGTCATTTAGAAATACAGAAACTGGCTTCTTTTTTTTCATGTGGAAAAATAACAAATGATTTTCTGTAACTGGTTGTGCTGCGAGCACTTACTATTGACCGGCAAATATTGTTTGCACCACATCAATTATTCTTTTTTCCCTTTGTAGTGGAAAATAAAGTTGTTTGTTTGGCTGTTTTCTATTCTTTTTTTTTTTGGATTTATCCCCTGTTCCCTGCTGGGTCTGAAGTGAAAATTCTAACAGACATTCTTACAGTTTTTACTTTAATCTTCAATGTATTCCGTGCATGTTTGCAGAGAAAGCCATGCACCTAAATCCCCTCAGAGTGTCCCTCTGCTGCTCCGGCTTTTTTAATGAACAGGTGTTGTGTTGAAGGTTCGGGAATGCAGGGGAAATCTCTGCTTTGGTGGTTATGTCGACACCTCACCGCATTTAATCAGGCTTTTTGGGAATAGAAAAAAGTATTTTAGAAAGGAAATTTTTTTAATCTTCCAATGGGAGACATGTATCCTTAGTTTGCCACTCTGTAAATGGGAGAGACATCAAGACTGTTGTCTGAACATGTAAGTAAGAAATATGTAAGTCCACCCCATAGTGATAATGAATCGGTTTGCCGAACAACCTTTCGTAAAGTTAGCTGACATTTAGAACAGTCTCACTTATTCTCATTTTTCACACATTGTAACTTTAGCTCGTTAAGAGATGTGGAAGTTAGTTCATCCACAGCTCTCTTAAGGTTGTGGACTCAGTTTGTGGTCTGGACATCAAAATGACTACTCTTCCATTTTGACATTCCGTTGTAGATTTGCTGCTGTGTTCAGGATCTTTTTTGTTGTATGACCCAAATTCAACCAAGCTTTAACTGTCAGACAGATGGCCTCACATTTGACTAAAATACTTCGGTATACAGAGGATTTCATGGTAGACTCAGTGAAAGCAATTCAGTGCTCAAGCCCTATGGCTGCAAAACAAGCCCAAATCATCAGCCCTCCACCACGGTGATTGACAGCTGGTGTTTGTGCTGTGGCTGTGTTTGGTTTCCTCTAAGGGGCTGCATGGTGGTGTGATGCTTTGCACTGTCGCCTCACAGCCAGAGGATTTCTGAATTTAATCCCGGTTGTGTGGAGTTTGCATGTTCTCTTTGTGTGTGTGTGTGGGCTTTCTCCAGGTACTACGGTTCCTTCTCACCATTCAAAAACGTGCACACGAGGCTTATTGGTGTCTCTTAGTGCCTAAGTGCCCGTAGGTGTGGGCAAGTATGAGTCCCTGGTCTTTTTTTGGTCCTATGGACTGGAAATTTGTCCAGGTTGTGCTCTGTCTCTCACCTAGTGACAGCTGGGATAAGCATTTCACAACCAGCATTTACACGCTTCCTTCTTTCCACCCATTCGTTCCACATTTGTAGTTTTAGTCAAATAAATTGACTTAGCCTGGTAGAATTAGATCCCATTAGTAATTTGTTTTTGCTAACTAAACAAATTGGTGGTTTAAGATGCTGCAATTGATGGACAGGTGGTTGAAATCCCTGATGATCCTTAGAGGTTGTGTTATTCATGCTATGTATATTTGCCGCGGAATCACCAGTTAATGACGCCGGGATGTTCTCCGCAGGTGGCTGTGCATATAACAGACGAGAACGACTGCACGCCAGAGTTCCTCCACTCCATCTATACCAGAGACAACATACCTGAGAGCGTGGCACCTGGAACCTCCCTGCTGCAAGGTGACACACACACACTGCTCCGTGTAGCACGCTCTGGAAACTATTTGCCCTCAGTCAGTGAACACAACACATTATACGGGGTGGCTTTACTGTGCACAGTGTGTGTGTGTGTGTGTGTGTGTGTGTGTGTGTGTGTGTCAGAACCATCTGTCATAGCTGCTGGTGACTGGTGGAGATCAAACAGTCCAACTTGAGCGAGGCTTTGCTCTTATTAGGCAGACAGCCAGCAACACATAGTCACCCACACATGATTTTACTTCTATCTCTGCGAGGACCTGTGTTGACATGCCAGGTCTCTTATTCTAACCTGAAGTATATTAGTCTGAACTGTCAAATAAATCCTTTGAAGGTCTGTTGTTCTGAAGCGAGGTCAGAATTTCCCCACCGGGCTCCGATGGTCTAAAGTTCAAATTGGTCCTCACAAAAGTCCAGATAAAGGCACATGCATACATTCATTAAGAAGCAAACTATGTATTTGTTGAATCTTTCATCTTCTCCTCTCTCTGGTATCCCCCCCCTCGCTTCTTTTCTCCTTGTGCTGCTGGCCTCCTCACATTTTTTCTGTCCTTTCCCAATAATTTCCATCCCCCTTTATGTGCTGCCATACGTCTGTGTCTTCTTTTTTCCCTCCTCCGCTTACTCTCACTTCACATGTTCCTTCACACTCTCCTCTTCCTTGCTCTCTAATTTTATTTTTTCTGTCTTTTTATCACCCGTTGTCTTTTTTTTCTGACCCTTCAACACTTCCCTTTATCATTCTTTTTTCTAAATCTACTCCTTCCTCTTGTTCTTGTTCTCCCTCTTCCTCCCCTTTTCTTTGCTTCTTTACACTCTACATCCATTCTTCTTGTCCTCATCCTAAATTTATCATTCTCCTTTCCCCCTTCTTCTTTCTTACCCGGTCCTTAAACTTTTCTACAAAATTTTTGGTCACACCTCACTTTGCTTTCCCATTCTCTTGTCTTTTTTTCTTCCACCAGTCTTGGCTCGTGACTGCGATTCGGGCGTGAACTCCGAGCTCTCTTACTCCATTCCAAGCGGTGACTTTGGCATCACGTCAGGAGGCGTGGTCAGCCCCACCCATCGGCTGGACTACGAGCGGCCCAACCACATGTACGAGTTTGTGGTTGTGGCTGTGGATGCAGGGATGCCCCCCCGCACCGGGACGGCCTCCGTCCGCATCCGAGTTTCAAACAGCAACGACGAGGCGCCCGTCTTCTCTCAGAGCGTGTAAGAGTCGTTTTCTTTTTCTTACTTTGTCTTTTCTACCTTTTTTTTGCTGTTGTCATTTGGGCTAATTAGGAACATCAGCACTCAGCCTCTCTGTTTCACTCCTGTCTGAGTCTGTCGCCCACAGACTCAATCTGCTAATTAAGTTTCTTCTTAAATCAGAATCTATTTTCAATCCCGCTGTTTTCCTCCATCTGTTTTCACTTCATCTTCACCTCTCCTCTCACTCCACTGTCTGCTACCTTCACACCAATTTGTGTACAGAATTTTTCTTCTTAGTGATTAATTCAGGTAATCCATTTTTAAGTATTTTCATCCTCTTTTTTACCTTAATTAATCCACGTAATCAACCTTTACTTCATTTCTAAAAATATTTCCCACCTCCAAATGATCTGTATTTGATAATTGCTATTTATTCCCCTGGCAACCTTTCTACCCCTATGTCAGTTCAATGTAATATTGAGTCATCATTTCTCTCTCGTCCCCTTTATCAGTTATAAGACATTTCTCAGTGAGGATGCTGGTCCCGACACGCTGGTCGCCATAGTCCACGCCAACGACCCAGATGGAGATGGTGTGTCTTACGCCATCACTGGTGGTAACGAGGAGAGCATCTTCCAGTTGGACAACCAAAAGGGTGAGTCACAGGCATTGATGTAAATAAAGCAACAACATGTGAAGGAAAACACGGCAAAATCTCCTTATCGCGTGCAGTCTAACCTGAAATTGCTGTCCTATTTGTTTGCATTTAATCATCTCTGAAGAGAAAAAGCTCAGGGCAACCAGAGTGGGCACAGCTCATACTTTCTTTATGGAAATGTTTTAAAGTTTCAAGTGGAGTCTGTGAACCTAAGAGCAAGACTTATCAATTGTATTTGATTAAAAGAACAGATGGCAGCTCGCTCTCATTTATGATGTGTGGGAAGATATTTTCAGCCCAGGCAAAAATAATAAATTAGACTAATTATCTCAGAAAGTTGTATTTACAGAACCGCTTAGAACATTCAATATAATCACATAAATTCTTGCATTGTAGTTAAATCTGTGTCTTTTGTGAGATATCAGAGGCAATGGGAAAGGGTTTACTGGGATTGTTGTAGAGGGTAAATAACTTTACGGAGCATTTCCCAATATGATAATTTTTTATTAATCAATTGTCCAGACTTAAACCCTGACCAACAGCTTGTAAGTATTACTATCATAGCTTTTATATGTTCATTTTCAATTGTATAAAATTCTGAAGATGTTTTGATCCAGAATCTTATAAATAATAAGACAAAGACAAATGGATTTTATTTCAAAAAGCTTAAAGATAGTTGTGAAAAAAGTGAGATGAGAAACATCATACATTTTTTTAATGAATATTAATCTAACCAGGAGTATTTTGTAGCCATGGAGACATTCATGGACTAGCATCCTTATCATTCATGGTCTAACATCCTTCTCCTGTTCTGCTCCTAATGGGACAAAAATTAATGTGAACATGTTGTTTGTTAGCAAGAAGATAGCTCCACCGCAAACAAACAACAGAAAATATCCCTTTTACATTTTTACACAGAGTCGTATTCACACAGATAAACTGCAAAGTGTTTGTTTCCATAGCAACAAGTATTTTGGGATAGAGCTGGGTAGCGTTAACGAGGCCAGAGAACCCCCCGGATGGTACACTCACATAAATGCATGAATAAAATAAAAAAAACACGAATACGCACACATGTCTAATCACAACAACTCTCACAAAAACACTGACTGCTCATCTTCCCCTCTGTGTCCGTGGGAAATCAACTCATTTACATACTCGCATGTATATCTTTGTGAGGACTGAGTGTGAGTGTGAACGTGCATGTTCAGAAACTGAGCCAGCCATGCAGAGCACAACACAGGGCACTTATCATGGCCACATACTGTCCAGCGATTTGTGAACAGTTCCCTCATTTCTTTTTAGTTTTATTTCTAGTTCTCTGTGCCTGTGGTGGCAAAAAACATCTTGTTTCTGGTTGTGCGTCCTTGTACTTGTGTCAACACAATTTTCTGATTTTTTTTTTTTTTCCTTGGACGACTTCAAGCAATCAATCTGGTTCAACTTGAATGTAGGAAACATCCACATTTTATGACTTGTTCATCTTTACACTATTCATATTTTAGATATTCACTGTTTACGGTGCTGCCTTTGGTAATGCTTTATCACAAACATACAGTGAAAATTACAAGACTTTAATAGTATTGATATGTAAAAGCTGTGCTCTCACCAGCTTTGATATCATTGAGACACATTGGGCAAACACCTTCAATTTGTTCAATACGCATCATAACCTACAACTATACGTCTTAATCAATAAGTATCATGCAAAAGAAGAGTAAAACACAGAGTTTCCGTCATGTTTGTCCTGTGTGTATCTGTCTTTAAGCCTCCGCTTCCACTGCTCCACTGCGTCCACGCACAAACACACATAAACGTGTGCATTTGCACATAAATGATGAATTAAAACTCGCTCTCTTAAACACTGTACGCACTCAAACAACAGATGGCCTTTGGCTTGCTTGCCTGCTCTGCTTTGTCACTTCAAAGCGTTGCGAAGTATTTTCATGTAGATGCGATCGCGCCCTCCCAGCCTCCGTGTCTGTATTCATGTTTCCACCAAAGCTGCTGATTTGTTTGTTTGTTTGTTTGCTGGCTCTGCTGCTCCGTTATGTTAATGTGGAAATGATTGTTCGTGCAGAAAAATGACATTCGTTGTAGACCTGAGGAAGAATAATGTGGGTTTTTTTTTGCAGGCTCCTGTTTGAGCTGACAGTTTCTGCTGTTGTTGACCTGTGAAATAGTCCACATCACGCCACAGCTTTTGATCAACAGCGTTTTAAGCGGAGCATTTCAGTTGTTTTTTTTAACTAACTCATATTATTGCCAGTGTGGACGGTGAGACCTTAAAAAAAAAATTCAAACCTGCAGAGGTGAAAAGCAAAGTGAGCTTATTACAAATGCTTCTTTACTTTTTGCCCACGTTTCATAAAACTGAATGATGGCAGAAGGACCTGCAGCTTTTAGGTGTTTTTTGCTCTATTTATTGCTGAAACATGGTATTTCCCTCCTCCAAAGGGGATTGTATACTGAGGAATAAGCTGGGTCCCTTGGGATAAAAGAATTATCCTTGGATGGCCACAAACGTGAAAGTAATATCTGTAAAATATTAGAATGTTTCAGTTTAAATCCATAAAAAAGAATAAGGTAAACTCTGTTGCCTCTTTATGTCTACTTTTTTGTGGAACGCTTTGATGGTTCTCAAGTTTCTGAAATCTGCCTCTTTTTTTTTACAAAACATCTTTACTTGTGAAACTAATGTAAAAAAAATCACTTTATTTAAGCATCATGCAAACAAGTGCATGAGTGAAAAACCATACAGCTCACATATAACAAAAGGCCACGACACTCACTGTTCGTACACCGATTCAGTCTAGAAAATAATCCTCCGTGTCAAATAACTGCAGAAGTTGCTTTTCTTTTTGCTCTGAAGCATCATGGGATAAGTAGCCTATAAACTAAACTAAAGCCAGCACAACAGTTTTTTATGTTGCCTATGTGTCTGTGCACAGGTATCATTAAACTGCGGCGGAGTCCACCTCCCAGATTGCGGGGACCCCAGTATGTCCTCAACATCACCGCCACTGACGATAACGCCTCTGGGGGGCCATATCCACTCAGCAGCTCAGCTCAGGTCATCGTTGGAATCAACGACATCAACAACAACAAGCCGGTGTTCGAGGAGGTAGGTGACCGTAGTCCTTTTGTCTTCACGTGAAAATCCGTCATTAGCTCGATCCAGAGGCATGAGCTCGCATCCCTGGTTCGGGATATTTCTGTTTCCAGTGTCAGAACTACGGTCTGAATGCAGCGGTGCTGGAAAATCAGCCACCGGGGACCTTTGTGCTGCGTGTCCAGGCCCACGACGCTGACATGGGGGTCAACGGAGAGGTCAAATATGGCATTATGCACAGAGACGGTGTGTCGTCTGAGTTTGACATCGATCCTGACACTGGTGAGGCCTGATTGCAATTCTACTTGTGTAGAATAATGCGGACATACCGACTTTTCTTTCCTGACAAGCAGGGCTTTTATAAAAGGTTCACTGACTGCAGTGATAGCTTATGTGACTACAGAAATGTCTGTGATAGGATGGGAGTCTTGATGTGAGCTGATGTGACATGAAACTGTTTCCGGGGTAAAGCGTCTCTTTACTTTCCTTTCAGGCGTGATCACAACAGCGGTGAGCTTTGATCGCGAGCACCAGAGGGAGTTCACGCTGTCGGTGACGGCCACCGATCAGGCCGAGGAGCCCCTCATCGGGATCTGCCAGATCACGGTGCTGATCTCCGATCAGAATGACAACGACCCCAAGTTTGAGAACAGTCGTTACCAGTGTGAGTAGCGCTGCCGCCATACAGTGCAGATTTTCAGCTTTCATTAGTCTGAGTTTATGGATGTGTGCGGGCTAACCGTCTACATCCCGTTCCCTTCCAAACAACCTGAGGTCGGAAGGAATAGGTAAATTCAAACCGAATGTTTGTTTGCTCTTTGCAAATCTGCTTCCTTGTAATCCTGGAAAGCTCTTAAAACTGATTAAATATTCGCCACTGCTCCCCTGTGGGTCTGTGTTTGTTTACTCTTTTTGCAAATATGTATTTTGATAAGCATCATGTCAGAAGTTCTCCTCGTCTGATTTGGGAAACGCACAGTGGCTCATTAACTATTTAGGAGGCAGATTGAAATGTTTCTGGGACATGCATTCAATTACGGCTGGTTAGTGCGTGTCGGTGTGTTGTTTACAGGGGTTTTCCTACACACGAAGTCACCTCTCTTTTAGCCCACTTGTTATTCATCGTAGGGTCTTCATCCACGTTCAACACCATGCAAAGGGTTTGCGCTTCAGGGACAAAACGATAGGCAGCCTGTGTGTGTTTTCCCTTTACTTTCCATTAGCTTTATCATATTCAGAGTTTCCCTCTCCTGCTTACTGTAAACAGCGTCCTCTGGCAACAGAAACAACTTGCAGATGCCTGGAAATATGAAAGTAATTACATTTTAGTGTTGATTTATTACTGCTTTTTAAAAAAGAAGCCCAACAAATAAATCACTATTACCAGCTGTTAGGTCTGGGTCTGAGACCAAATTGGGTTTTGGTTTCCACATTACTGATGTTTTTTTTTTACATTAAGGTTTTTAGCATTTCATTGAGATGATTTGATCAGGAATTGAACAGGATAGATCTTTTCTATTCTCTGGTTTTTATTTCTATGTTTCTAACTTTAGATAAGGTTTATTTTCTGGATTCCTAAAGATAAACTTTTAATTCCCTTCTCTAGTTTGTGTGTGTGTGTCTGTTCGTGTGTGTGTGTGTGTGTGTGTAATAGATGTTATTGCTTGGATTCTTTTGGTGTTATACTGTAGGGAGCTGCTTATATTTGACACTACCTGACTCTTCTTCCAACCAAGTTGAGCCGTTATTGTAAAGTGACTTTGAAACAATGCAGACTGCTTTTTAGTTCAAGATAATTATCACCTGTGGGTATTTCCTACGCCATACAGAAACAAACCAATGCGCTTTCTTGCTCTGTGAAGTCTTTTTTTAAAAGGCCGTCACGCAATTTAGAGCATAATTCTTATTGTCCACACCGATCCCACATGGTATGTCAGACTAATGAATAAACAAGCATGTTTATAATACTTAAGTATGGACTCAAAGAAAGATTTGTTTCCCTCCACTGATCAAAGCTGAATTCTGCAGGGCTCACTCCCAAAAGATGTTCAAGCTGTTGTAAATGAAAGGCCTGTAGGAAACTCATTCATTGCAATTACTGCTCTCTTATATCACTTTGATAAATGCATCTGATTAACAGGATTTACTCTAAAACATGCCAACTTAATGGAGAAAAAGCACGCACACGGCCGTGTTGCATGTTTCCTAGTCTGTCTGGAGCAAGCAAGGAAGCATGGAAGCCGCACTTACCGACAATGCTAAATATTAAATGCAGTTCTTTGTGCCACAGCTTTGTTTGCAAGAATCTTTACTAACCATTTAACTTCATGTATACAGCAGCCAAAGTGAAAAATGCTCGTCAAAGCCATGTGAAACATGTGCAAACAGACTGTTTTAATTACAAATGCACATCCGAAAACTGAGACTTCACTGTAAATATGTCTATAATATATTATCCATCCGTTCCTTTTTCACGCTTGGAGCCTATCACAGCTCTCATTGGATGAGAGGCGGTGTATGTCCTGGACAGGTCACTGCTAATATAGTCATTTGAAAATAAAAAATAAATAAAAACAATCCCTGTCAGGGTCCATGTGAATACCTAAAGGCCCGTATTTGACCTGTCAGGTTGTTCTGACTCAGCTGGATCTGACATGATTGTTTAGTTGAAATGGGTCCACTGAGACCCGCAAATGGGAAAAGGACATTAATATTGACACAGTGTTTGAAATTCAGTATTTCACAGGGAAAAACAGGCACCGGCTGCCTCGCTGCTCATTGTTTTTTTTGTTTTTTTTTTGTTGTCTGATCAGCGCTGACACACATCACAGTCAGCAGGATTGGAGGTTATATTCATAAATTTGAAAATGTGTTTGTTGACTTTGCAGAGTGAGACCCAGAAATGACAAAATGAGGTGACACAGTGCTGACACATCCAAATGCAGTTGTTCCCATTATTATAATATCTGCTTACCATCACAGAACATGATGTTACACTGTGTTCAGTCACTTTTAATGAAAATCAGGCTGTGGTTTTGTTACAAGCTCAAGTCAGAAGACGGTTTTGGCTGGAGCCAGTGCATCGTGCTCATATAGTAACTGCTGTATCTGCAGCATTTCATCCTCAGCCTTGATAATAAGCCTCTTTTCTTCTTAGACTTCCTGAGGGAAGACACTCCTGTTGGAACTAGTTTCCTGCGAGCAGCAGCGCACGATGACGACCAGGGTAGCAATGCAGCCATCACCTACTCACTGTCCAATCAGAAGCCCGCTTATCTGCACATCAACCCCAGCACTGGTTGGATTTATGTCAACCACCCCATCTCACAGGTTAGAAAAACAAAGCACTACTCCCCACACACCTCGGCAAGGATCCTCTCAAGTGTCGTATTCACAGATTATAGAACGACTTAAATAAGTTCTGCTGCACATGTTCCAAAAAATGTGTGGTTTGAGCCTCTTTCTGCAGCTATATGTTTCGGTGTTGCCAGTTTGTTAAATGCTGTTGTAAAAATCTGATGGATAAGCTTGTTCTGATAATGACAGCATACTAACAGGGTCATGTTTTTGTAATGTTAATGGAAGCAGCTTCTCCAACGCTGTAAAGGCATAATGTTGTAATAAACACTCTGTTGTATTTATTATTTAATTATTTCACAGTTTTCCATCACTTGGAGGGGTAGTAGTTCTAAGCAGAATCAAAGAAAGTTTTTTTTTTATCCTTTTCCAGCTATAAAACTATAAGAGAAACATTTCTGATTGAATGCCCATCGATCATTTCTTGTCTCTAGTAATATTGATTCTTACAACTGAATGTTCCTGCAGACTTCCAGGATAAACCAGCAGATTGTGGCCTCAGACGGAGGGAACCGAAGCAGCTCCGTGGATCTGACTGTCATCATCACCAACGTCCACAACCAGCCGCCACAGTGGGAGCAGTCCGAGTACTGGGTCACGGTGCCAGAAAACACCGTCCGAGATGCCAAGATAGTGGTGAGTTTTTGGTTGACTGTTCAGTAGTTTTATACAGGGGAGATGAGCAACAAATGTGCAGGTATGAGCAAGTCTAATAAAGAAGAGAATAGCAATAAAGTGATGTAATGAAGATCCTCATTCTCAATCACTCATGACATCTATTGACGTTTGGTGTTTTTCCTGCAGGTCTCTGCTGTGTTTTTATTGAATGTTGTTGGCAGCACTGTACCTGCTATCCACAGCTCCATGGACTGAATTATTTATTAGCTTAAGGGAGCTTGGAATTTATTTTTACGCATTTGCTTGATGGCTGGGACAGGAATCCTTTCCAATTTTTTGTTTGTCTTTTTTTCCAGAGGTGGAAAATAGCTTGGAATTGAGTCAATAGATCTACCAAAGAATAATAGGCCATATGAAGTGAGGTTTCCTAAAACTTTCTGGACCTTTGATTTCCTGTATGGTTGCAGTCTTTTAAAATGGGCTTAGGCAGTGTAACATGCTGATCAGGAAATTAAAGCTCAGGCCTCTGATCATGGCAGGAAGGTCTAAACTGACACGGTTGGTGAGGAAGCAGACACGTTAAAGGAGAGGAATATTTAAACCCGGTTGTCTTCCTGAAGCAGCGGAAGAGCTCTCTTTCATTTATGTTCTCCTTCACACTCGTGCTGAACACCCTGAGAAGGCTGCACGCCGTTTCTCCTTCTTCATCCTGCTCTCCTCCCTTTTCCGCTCATCTTTCCCTCCTTTCTTTCCGTCTCTGTGTCAGCACATTTAGCAGAGCACCAAACATTTTTCTGCCGAGCAAACACCAAACCCGCCCCGAGTCTGTCTCACCTGACTCACTTCAAGTAACACACACAAGCAGATTTCTTGTAGACCTCCGGTGGTTTTCTTCCCTCTTTTGATCCCTCCATCCTAATTTGCTCTCGTTTCCTAAGCCGCTAGTTTGGAAGGTGGAGGAGTTTTCACCCCCTCCAGCTGCTCGATTTCATGGAGGTTAGTCAGTTTTCAAATAGTTGCGGGGAGTGTTGCGAGCGTGCGGTGGTCTGTTTCAGCTTGTCGCTATGCTCCTTTTAGACCTTGGATTTTTACTGAAAAGCCTGAAAATGCTGGCGATGATGATGGTGATGGTGATTGGAGGTTGTTCCACCCACAGCTCCATCTGTCAGAGATGATTGAGGAGAGGGAGAAAATTACACCTGCTGTCGGAGCATCACAATGGACTCTCATCACCTCAGAAAAACAGACGTTTAATTACTGTGTTTAACCTGACAGAGATGGTGTGATGGAGGGAGGGAGAGATGGTGGGAGGAGGGGGAGTCAAATGTAGGGGAACGAGCCAGACTAAAACACTGCTGATTTGCTCTCCTCATGAGATTTGTTGACGACAGGAAAAGTGCAAAATAAGACCAAACTTCTCTTTCAGTCAGATGATAGTAACTCAGTAGTAAGTCAGTATTTTATTTTCCTCCACCGCCAAAAGAATCACGATAGGAATTAGATAGGAGTGCTCTGGTCCTTTACCAAAGGAAAAATACCAGTGAAGCAACATCAAAATTGAGTTGTGCATTCAGAAAAAAAAAGCTTCAGTGAAAATAAAGGAATAGCAGCAAAATGTGACTAAATTAAGAAAATGAACAGTTTACATCCAGCGTTGAATGATTATATGAACTCGGATTATCGTCATTAAAGCATCTGTTTGAAAGTAGCACACCAGATACTGGAGGTGGAGTTATTTTAAACCATGTTAAATATGGCTTTATTTACAGGAACAAAAGGCACACCTGAGAAGTTGTGAAATGGTTAATTGGAAAGAAAGGTCTTGACGTAAAGTATGTTCTGTGGTTTTTGACTCTTTTTATACCAGGTAGTGAGATATCTCAAACTGAATCATTTCAGAAGGTTAGATGGAAGAAAAGAAATCCCCAATTAGAGGACTGTTTCTACAATGGTAGAAGTCATTGATGGGTAACATTTGAATTCTAAAAGCAAATGAAATGACCATATTGAAGAGTTTAGGTTTAAATTATCAGAAAATGGTAATGCATGTGATGATTTACGAAGCTGTTTACCAAGATATACAACTCCACAGGAACTTTCTTGGTATGTGAGACATGAAAATCTGCCCTCTGTGACCAGTTTCTTTTATTTTTAACGCTGTTTTCGTCAGTAAGCTCAGTTGCTTAATATGTTGAAATACAAATCACTCGGCTAAAATGTCTCCCCCTCCTCCCTCCTCCCTCATCTCCTCCGCTGTGTTGATTGCACTGAGGAGGAGCTGTTGTTTTAAATATAGCAGTTTTAATAAGGTCTGTAAATCACATTGTTAACGAGGTTCAGGGAGACGCTGCAGAGGTGGAAGCCACTATGCGTTAAATCTCCATATCAATAAGCCGAAATCATCTCCCACTCATGTAATAATCTCCTCATCAGCTGACATCCTCCTGTTTTCTTTCCTTATCCTGTTGATGTCTGCTGTGGTTGTCACTGTGATTGACGCTCACCCTTCTTTGGCAAACATATGTGATCGTTTTTTATTTAAACAAAAGGAAAACTTTTTTTTAAATACCTCTACTGGTGAAAATTGATGCATGCTTTGATTTAGTCGTGCTTTAATTCAGGCAAACTAGCCTTGGACAAAAATGTGTATATAATTACAGCTGCAGTGGAAACAGGAAGCAACACAGCGTCTGCACATGACGTTATCTCTGACCCTGTGCTTATTAACTCTCAAGGGCAAAGGCTCAAGTAGTGTGACACAGTGTTTGCATTTTTCATATTTTCATTATGAAAGGATGCAGATAGATGATCCAGTCGCCACCAGGCAGATGGGGCAGCGAACTTTCTGTGCCATCGCTCATTTTAAATGTCCCTGTAACCTAATCTCACACCACAGCTGCTGCCATTAACCTGCACTTTTCTTTATTTTATTAGAAAATTATGCAGATGGGAAAAGGCATTGTCAGTTCAGCGGTGTTAGAACAGAAAATACTCTGATCAGACACAAAATTTAAATCAGTGACAAGTAATGTAAATGGTATTGATATATGAATGACATGATGTTACATACGCACCTGTCAAGACACTGTAAGCAGTGAGTTAATGAATGTAAAAGTATTAGAGGAGTAAAGAATCGGCAGCTTTGTGGATCTAGTTAATTGCCAGAAAACCAGTGTCAGTGTCATGGAAACTGGCAATAATGAAGTGTACAATAAAAAATAGTGATAGAACAGCACCTAAACATAGATTAATGCTTTAGGCATTTGGTTGCTGAGCTCATGCTAATACTTGCTAAACTCAACAATGGTTCAATAATAAAAATGTCATAAGAATGACATTTTCTTTTAAGTTTTGTGTAATGCTAACTTGTGACATGTCATTTAACATCAGATACGGGTGTTTTACATTACCCTACGGCATCCCAAATCAACAAAGCTTCTGGTGTCAGTTTTCAGTGTCTTTGGTTGCATCAAGAATCTGAAATTTACTGTCAGTTTGCAGCTTGGATAAATGTTAAAAGTTAGTTATTTTGAAAAAAATTACATTCATTATAGCCCCTTATCTAAACTAACACAGTATCTGTGGTATCATTTATAGCTCTTATAGCTCAGTTCTCAGTTCCTAACTAAAACCATAGGTAGAAGTATGCATTCTTCATGACACATTTGCAGGAAGACTAGATAAGCCTGTGATCAAAAGCCTAATTATCTCATCTAAGTCACCATATATAGAAGTAAGAGAACTGCTTTCATATAACTAACCGCACCCATTTGAAATCATTACCAATTTCTTGCATATATCTGCACCAGTCATACCAGCTGAGACTGATCCATCCCCACATATCCACAGGCATTAATTTGTGTGGAAAGAGATGGCAGTCAATGATCGGCTTTGCCTCGGCAGACTGCACTGCGCTGACGTCTAATGAGATGATTTCTCATTAGCGCTGATTCCACACGCTCTGCTGCTCGGGACTGCTGTGGGGCTGTGCCACGCTGCACCGTGGCCCGACATGACTCCCCACCTGGAAACTGGGCTGCTGCTATGTTCACATAATAGATAGATGTCCGTATGTGTGTGTGTGTATTGGTGTCGTGGAACAAAAATAGTTTTTCTGATCACATAAATAATATATCAGTCATCTTAAAGAATGGACATTCTTCTTAACTACACTTGGCTATAACCAAGAATATTTATAGTCTGTGTTTGCTTTCATGATATGCTGCGCTATCAAAGACGGGACATGTTTATTCTTTGGGACGGCGAAAGCTGAGAGGGTTTCTGTGTTTGGAGTGGAAGACAGCATTTGTCACTCAAAAGAAACATGTCAACTGTTGTGGAAATGATGGCAATGTTTGGAGTTGCTCAGAGGTCATATTTTACTCTTTCATTGAATACACGAACTGCTTCTCTCTGCTTCTATTCATAGGTTAGCCTTGATAACCACGCCCTTGACCCAAGAGGTCCAGCTGATTCGCAATGATTTTACTTTGAGCACTTTCAGTTGCCATTTTCCAGTTGCCTTTAAGGTCAGACTGACAAGTTGAAAGCACATTTGTTCTGAATGTCTGCTCTCGTGCCTGACTGCATATAGGGCAGCATTAAAGGACTGGCTCTTCCTTCTGTTACCAGCCAGCACGAGGGGTGCATGGACCCCCAGCTCACCTGCTCTTTTCATATTGTGTCCAGTGAATAACAGTTTGAGTGACACTATTCACTTGTTTTTTTGTGGTAGGTTCAAAAGTTTAGAGACATTTTGTGATATGGAATGGACTCTATATAGCTATAATAAAAAGCGATAATAGAATTGCAGCTTCTGACTTGCTTTGTACTAGTTTAGGTCTGTCAGACATGTGACCTCCTTCATACAGCTGGTTATTTGTGGTCAAATAGGTGCTTCTGTCCCATTTGCTGGCATTGTTTCAATGGCCATGACTTTACGATTTTCTTCTGGTTTATCTTCAAACTTACTTTGCTTTACTTTTGCAAAATGATCTTTGCTCCTGCATGTGCTGACGTATCTGCGAGACACAAATCATGACATCAGCAACAGTTTAGTCATCCAGGAACTCATGAAGATGCTTCTGTTTCTAATTGTTTTTTCTATTTATAAAGCATTGTGCGTGCCTCACACATTCGCTTTACGCACGTTCGTCAAACAACACCAATCGGGACACAAGCAACATGCAAAAAAAACAACTCTGCCCTTCAAAAGCTTGAAATCATGACAATTGTGTCTCAATAAAGGGTTAATGTAACAAATCATTTAAGACGTTAATGGCAGATCAATTACATCAAGGGCTCTCTCCTTTTTGTATGTATGTGTTTGCGGAGATTGGATCATACCCCCCCCCGTATAAAGAGTAAAAAGTAAAAAGAGATCATTCAACTGCAAGGTTGGGGGTTTATAGTCTTGAAGGAATAATGTCGTAAAAGGCCATGCACTCAGAAGGCTTTCCATGTTAAATGAACTTATCTCTGACCTTTTTCCAACCTTAAACCAAGTCCTTTCCCCACAAAAAGGATGCAGGTTCTGCCAGTGTCACTGAGTCTATGTTTACCTCTTTATGAGTAATACAAACAAATGCACACACACACACACAGACACACACATGCCCTGGAGTCGCCTTTATCTGCTGCCAAGAGAAAGACATGGGTCTTAAAAGCTCTTCTGCTGATGGATGTTCAAGTCAAGACAACTTACGCACACACACACACACACTCACACAGATTCAAAAACATATATTTTCCCAAAATGAAAGGAAAATCAATCAGACAAAGAGAACATAAACAAAGCCGAATCTGAAACCTTTTTAGGTATCTTGGAAAGGTTCTCGAGGATTCCCCTGCTTCACTTCCATAGAAGGACTGGCCTGCTCCCGGGGCCGTTAAAATGCTGCATTCTTTGAATTATAGTTGTGTATTTTAGTGTCACTTTTTGGATGTTTGTTATGGTTTATAGATCGGAAGGCCGTTAGAGCCGTTGTAAAGATGAATGACCTCATGGTGACACCAATAGCTGTGTGATAACATGATGTCATCATGAACCTTTACAGAGTCCCCGTTGGCTTGAGTCTTTGATGGATTATGTGTTATGGTGAGTTTTAAAGGAATACTCAGTTAGAGTAACTGAGCCTTTCAGGAGCAACAGAGAAATTCCTTATGAGGAGACCAGACTACACAACTGTCGTCTGGCTTCTCACAGGAAGTCAGATTTCGGAGACAAGATACAGAAACTGTAAAAATGGTGTTGAATGAATAACCTAACAATGAACATTACAAATACAGAGGATTTATACAGGAATTTAAGGGGAAATGTAAGAAATAAGTGGACATAGCGCAGACTTTGACCCTCCTAATATAGTGCATATTGGGGTGGATTTCGCACTGCTGCCGATAAGAAACAAACTGGTCACTAGGACCTCACACTGCATCAGCAGAGCCACCGACATCTTCAAAGACTTCTTTCACTACTGCCGTCTCCTCTGAACTGTTGCCCTCTGACAGTCATTACAGATCAGATTCTTTTCTTTTAAAACAAAACAGTAAGAGCAGTCCAATCTGAAATGCACTTGTACTTCGGATATGGGTGCAAAAGACAGATTCTTATGCTGTGTTTTTTCACTCGGGCATAATCTTGCAAAGCAGGAATGCATCAGGATTGCACAGAAGAGCCAAATAACTCTGGTTGTATGTTGCCAAATTGCTAAGTTCTTTCATTGAAGGCCTGATCTGCTCTAATTGCAGCTGTGGGGAGCAAATTCAAAGGCCCAAAGAATGCTTTTCAAACATCCCGGTGCCCCTGGGAGGAAGTATACTCGTCCCGTTTTGCGTCCCTGACTTCCTCCCTCTCTCATCAGACCATCAAGGCAACGTCTCCTCTCGGTGATCCCCGGGTGACGTACAACTTGGAGGAGGGTCAGGTGCCAGAGACCAACATGCCCGTGCGGTTCTACATCAAGCCGAACCGCGCCGACGGCTCGGCGTCCATCCTGGTGGCCGAGAACCTGGACTACGAGACGACCCGGTTCTTCACTCTGCGGGTGCGCGTTCAGAACGTTGCAGCCGTGCCGCTCGCTTCCTTCACCACTGTCTACGTCAACCTGACCGGTAAGACGGAGCAAAGAGCCTGTTTGTGCTCTTCGTGTCCTGTTGGAGCTTTTCCTGCATGTCCCTGCAGTGGAAACTCTGCGTTGTTCGTTTTGGACAATATTTCAATATTTCCGTTTCAGTCTGTCTCTTAATTTCAAGCCCAGAAAGTAGCCACCTTATATGAACTATTTGAAACTATTAGTATGTTCTCTCGTGTGTAAAAAGTCAGCATTTAACTTTGACCAACAGAGGAAAAAGTAGCCTTCGGTGAGTCACATAAATTCCGCCGTAATGAGCTCCAGCTCTAGAAACGGTGAGGAGAGAGAATAATGAGGCGCAGTTCATCTCCCCGGTTGTCTCTGGTCCAAAAAGAAAGGAGGAAAACAGCAATGACTGGTGGCGTGAGCTCCATGCCACCTCGTTTTAACTGTGACTCATTTTCCAATCAGCATCTGTAGGCGGGTAGAGAGAAGGAAGGAGAAGGAAACACTTCCTGACTTTGATTGGCTTTGAACAAACCCACACTGGACGCTGTAATTGGCTTAGCGGAGCTTGAAAGTGGGCTGACAAGCTGCTTTGTGGATTCTTCGGGGTGTTTGGAGGATAATTCCTTGCTAATAACTCAATTTTCATTAGTGAGGGGAGACAGTGTATCTTCCCTTTCTGCTGGACTCTGCTGGACCACAGAATTTTCTACTTTCTTTATTTTGCAGACTTCATCTTTTCTGTATTATCTGTTTTGATGGTGTAACCACTTTTTTTTTCCTTACTGTCCATCATTTTTGTGTTTCCTTTCTGTTTTGGCCTCGTTTTCTTTCTTTCTTTCTTTCCCTGTCAGTTTTAAATCCAATTTAATCAGCTTTCACGGCCACAACGCTTTGAGTCCTGCCAGTGACAGAGACGATGGCATTTAGGAATACTGAGGATGTTTACACCGCTGCCCCTATCTTTTTCTCTCCCTCTCATCAGATGTCAACGATAATGTTCCCTTCTTCCTGTCGTCCACCTACGAGGCCACGGTTCCCGAGGGAGCTCAGATCGGCACGTCTGTGGCTCAGGTGTCGGCCACAGACCTGGACTCTGGCCTGCACGGGGAGGTGAGAAGCTGACCATTCTCGGTCAGTTTCAGTCTTTCTCCTGCTTCTCTTTAACTCCTCCATCCTCCTCAGATCCAGTATGGAATCCTGAGGGATGAGAGCGGGGACTCGCAGTTCTTCAGCATTGACCCGCACACCGGAGTCCTGGTCACTGGAGCCTCTTTCGACCGTGAGCAGAAAGCGTCCTACCTGATTGAGGTGCAGTCGCAGGACGGCTCAGAGTCATCCCGACCGGGCCAGCAAGGCCAGCCAAACACAGGTATCACCCACACAGCCCCCGTCTGGAATACAAATGATGTTTTGTTCTTTCAGCAGCGTTTTTTTTTTTTTCCCTTTGTGACAAGATTATATCTGTAGTAGTAAACCAGCTGGAGTACTTTGTGAGATACTGTTTATTTCTCCGCCTAGGGCTTCGTATGAGTCACTCCATCATACATAAAAGTGGAGTTCATGTAGTTCTGTGCAATTAGCATAATGAGAAAGAGGACAGTCCCAGGCCTTTTGGAGGTGTACCTAGTGGCTGTTTTCGGTCAGTCCTGGAAAAGGGTTCATATCTGCCGTTAGCATTTAGTGTCCAGTCGGTTCACATTCAAAAGTAGACTTTCCTTCTGTTTGTTCTCCATGTAACTGGAATTTCCATTTTGAGACAAAAGTAACTGTGACTGGAAAACGACAGACACAAAAAAATCTGAGATGTCTCTTCTTATAAAGATTGTCAGAAGCTCTTCTTGAAAGGGATTTTTTTCAGTGGATAAGTAAAGTTTTGCATATTTGGCCATCTCAAGGGTTGGGATTAGGGTTAGTCTTACTTTAGGTTGAAAATTGTGCAGACTCCTATAAGCAGGGTCACCAACTCAAACCTCAAAAGCTTCATAGATGTTTCAGAAAGATGCTTTGTCGACTTTTAAACCGCACTAATAAAAAAAAGAAAGCTGCATAACCTCCATGTTCTTCAGTTGGTTTTAAAATCCCTGATGACAAACCCCTTCTGCGTCCGATCAGACACTTCCTACGTCAGGATCTTCGTTGCTGATGTGAACGACAACGCCCCGGCGTTTGCTCAGCCGGTGTACGAGGTGAGCGTGGAGGAAGACAAGGAAGTGGGCTTCGTCCTCATCACCGTAACAGCCAACGACGAAGACGAAGGTCAGTCGGAATCAACTCAAACTGTTGTTTTTGGCTCCCGTTGTCTAAACTCCGTCTCCGTTTATTTTGTATTATTTTTCCTCTTTGTTGTCTTCTAGTTTCTTACTACCTTTCCTTTAACTTTTCTGCTTTTTGACTTGTGTTATTCTTTTTCGGTTTTCTTGTTGTATGTTCTTATTTCTCCTCACCTGGCTTTTTTTGCAGCTCAATCATTTATGGGGCTGGTTTTGCTCCGTTTAAGGCCCTTAGAAAATGTTTTTCATTTTCCTTTATGGCTGAGGAGCGTTCCCTTATTAAACCGACTAAATCAACTCAACAAACCAAACAATGGAACTGGAAGCTCTTTAGTCTTGTCAGTTGGTACTGCACTAAAGTTCTTGCAGAGGACAGCAAGGGTCCCATTTTGTGAATTCCCACCTTCAGGGCACAGAGGCAGACCTGATTCATAGGAGCAAGTATTCGCGTTTCCTTTGGTGGTGGAGGGGCAGAACCTCCATTTAGGACTACCACGTTGAATAAATCAAACTTTTATTGCTTTTTTTGTTTAAAAAAGAATGAGGTGTGAATACAAATATACAAACACTCCAGTAGTCCAGGTTTTTGCTGACTGTTACGTGTTCATCTTCAGCCGAGAATTGAATAAAGCTGAAGCAGTTGTAGAAGGAAAACCTCAGTGATATAAGTCAGCTACTTTAGTTCCCTGTAGTTAATGCACCGCCTAAAGATCCAAGGAACATTGATTCGGTCAGCGTGAATTCGCCAGAAAACATAGAGGTTAAACGTTGTGTGACATGTGGTTAATTAAGAGTTTTCCAGAATGGAAATATTCAGTTTTACAGTAAAGGAGCTTTGGAATTGGTCTTTGTTTATTCCTTGAATTACAAGAGAGGATATGAGAATAGTTGCTGTCCCGGTTTTCATGTATCCTTCAAGCAATTAAAACAGATCTGTTTGTGCTCATTGTAACAGTAGAACCCTAAAGTAGTTAAAAAAGTTATGCACCATTATCTTTTCTTCTGCTGACATTTTCAACACTCCTCCTGAATTTTTGGGCACTTTTTGTTCTTCCCGTCTACCCTCATTTCTTATCTCCAATCGCTGTTTCATGTCATCTTTATCTCACCTCCTCCTCTCTTCTTCTTCGTCTTCTCTGGCTGTCACAGCTCGTTAGCAAGTGCGGCTGCTCTCATGAGGTCGACAGTTTTGATGTTTGTCTTTTTGTTTGTGTTTGTCCCTCATTGCTCTTCCTCCTCCGCTCTAAACCAATAAGCAGTAAGGCGCAAAAAAAAAGGACAAAAAAATTCTCTTCCTGCTCCTGTGTTTCCTAGTTAATGATGGTGGCTGGCATCGGCTCCACGCCTCTGAGGTTCCCGTTTTACGCAAAGCGCACAGGAAGAAAAGCGGAAAAAATTATTTTAGTTTCTCTTGTTAATATTTTAATATTTTTTTCCCTTATTGACTGCAATCACCCAGTGACGTGTTCTTACGCCAGATTTACTCTGGATTCCTCAGATCTCATCATTTCAGTTTTGCAAATATTATCTAGTAGTTCCATCAGAAGTCAGAACTCACTATTTTCTGTATTTGCTTAGATCAGAAATAAGAAACCTCTGTGTGTAGCACCAAATAAACAGAAGTCTTTGAGTATCAGATGCTGCTGCATGCGCTGCCAGAAGTGTAGTGAAGATGTGATTAAATGAAGAAAACAGGAATAAAAGAGTCTATGGAAATTACTAATGACCTTAACACATATATAGCCTGTAAAGTCAGAGTCGCTTTACAGTAGGTGATGTGATTTTTACTAATGATGCTCTGCCACATAATGCACACGTCTGTAAAGTGTTGATAGTGGGTTTCTATTCATTTCAGGGATAACGGGATTATCCTGACCGTGATAATCTCTAAAAGTCAGACCCTACAAACTTTTAAAACACTTTTTGAAGACGTGCTTCTTATTTTAGGATTTACTTTGACTTCTTATTTTGCTTCACAGAGTATTTGATTAGATTTTTTTAAAAGTAATTATTTAATCTTTTATTATAATTTTCATATTCTTGTTACAGTGTATTTCATAGATTTTTTCTGTTACTATTAGGCTGTTTTATTCGTTTTATAACTAGATAGATAGATAGATAGATAGATAGATAGATAGATAGATAGATAG